GGGCGGCAGCCCCTGCACCCCATCTCTTGCCCTGAGCCCCTCACAAGCCCCCCGGCAGGTGACCCTGCTGGGCACCGGAAACGCTACCGAGTGCCGCGAGGCCATCCGGCGGATCTTCAACTTCAGCGCCTGCAGCCAGAGCCAGTTCTGCACGTTCGATGGGATCTACCAGCCCCCGCTCACTGGGGAGTTCTTTGTGAGGCAAATCCCCTCCGAGCCCGCTCCCCTCAGGTGCCTGGGAGCCCCTACCGGAGCCTGAGCCAGGCTGAGGGGTGCACCCTCCGCACACACCCGGCTGGCTGCTGCCTGGGGCGCAGGGAATGCAGCTCTGCCGTTGTGGGGAGCTGTCCTGGCTCTACTTGGCATGGGCCAGCGAAGGGACTGACCCCCCAGAACCCTCCGACGGTGGGGGGGGGGGGGCGCCTGTCTCGCGGCGGGCGCTCCCCCAGCCCCTCTGCTTCCCGCCCCGGCCATGTCTATCGCTGCGCCCAGGGCTGGACACACAGCGGCACAGTCCTCACCGTCCGGCTCAGGCGCCCACTGACCTACTGGCTCTTGCTTTCCAGGCCTTCTCTGCCTTCTACTACACCTTCCGGGCGGCCCCTGGCCGCGGTGGAGGACACGGTGCAGAGGTTCTGTGCGAGAAGCTGGCAGGACGTACGTGCTGGGAGGGGGATGGAGGCTCCGGGGAGCAGGCAGGCTGTGGGGACTGCCCAGCAAAGGGGCCGAGAGGGGCCGGGGGCTCTCCTGGGGCTGCCCCAGCGCACGAGGCAGTCTCAGGGCATTGAAGGGGTAGGTGGGATCACCAAGCTCAGTGCCCTGGGAGCAGCCACAGGCCACGGATCCCTGCTCTGAGCTGCCCCAGGGGCGCAGGCTCAGTCCCGAGGCCCAGTGGCTCCCCCAGGCTGGTGGGAGCGGCAGGCCCCTACGGGGGTGGGAGGCAGCGCATCTGTCGGTCCCAAAGTCCTGCTGGTGCAGTCCCAGCAAAAGGCACCACCTCCCAGGGGCTCCCCCAGGCTGGTGGGAGCGGCAGGCCCCTACGGGGGTGGGAGGCAGCGCATCTGTCGGTCCCAAAGTCCTGCTGGTGCAGTCCCAGCAAAAGGCACCATCTCCCGCCCGCAGAAACCGCCCTGGGTGGCCAACGGGGGACCGGCACA